TATTGTTATATATATATATATATATATATATTGTTATATCTAATATATCTGAGGCAATACAATGAAAAAAATAAATAAATATGATTTTTTGATTAAGTTATTAATTTGTTATTTTATTAGATATAATGTTAATTTATATAGGACTATGCCAGAATATTTGCAAAGCAATCCATCATCATAGCTGGAACAGAAATGAAAATTTTAAAATGGTCACCTGATTATGACCCATCACAAGAACGTCCCACAGTGCCTATATGATTTTAAGCTACCTAAACTGCCTTTGCACCTATTTAAATTGAATGCATTGTTCAATATTGGGTGCACCTTGGGTACACCTTTGAAGGTTGATGCTGCTACTTTTAATAAGGCCAGACCAGCCAGTACAAGAATTTTAGTGGAAAGGGATGTTACCCTTCTTGATGTTAAGAGAATTTGGATTGGGGACACTCAGAGTGGGTTTTGGCAAGAAGTAATCATGGAGCAAAGACCACATTATTGCCAACATTGCAAAATGTTTGGACATAATAGCGAGAGATGCTATATGTTGAAACCCCCTAATAGAAGGGTTTACCAACAACCTCAGCAGGAGTTGGATGATGCCAACATCAATCTCCAGGAAGTTGGAAACAAAAAAGTGCAAAAGAAGACCACTACTGCTGCAGGGACAGATGAGTCTCTCGTCCAAAAGTATTCCTCCTGTGTGGCAGGGACAGTTAGAAATGGTAGCAATGTTGTTGGTCAAATATCTACAAAGGATAATAAATTGGAGATCCAATCAGAGGTTGAGACAATGGGGGAGGAGATACTTGCCTCCCCATCTCCCATAAATGTAATGAACCAAGCGGTGGATTTAGTGGTGGAATCCCCCAGCCAGAAACTGGTAGAAGCTATGAACAAAGAGTTGGAGTCAGATTGGCAAATTCAGAAAACTAAGAAGAAAAAGAACTACAAATCAGAAGGACAAGACCTTGGAAAAGGAAAGGAGCTTCGGAGATTGGAGGTTCATATCAATCAGATAAAAATGGGCTCTAACAAAATAAGAGGGAGGACTAGGTCCAGGTCCCATCCTTATTCTTCTCCCCCTCTCCATGATTGATCTACTGTACTAGAACACTAGGGGGGATGCCCACCCCTTATCATTAAAAAGACTCAAATATCTTAATAAAAAGAATAAATTTTGGTGCATAGCCATCTTGGAACCCATGTTTCATCTCAACACTTTGAAAATTGCAAAAGTCTTCCCTGGCTTCAATCTGTTCACTAATATCAGCAACAAAACTTGGGTTTTTTGTAGGAAAGAAATGAAGTGCTCTATCTTACTTAATCATACCCAAATCTTACATATGAATCTTAGCTTTATGGACATGGAAGTTTTTGCTTCTTTTGTCTATGTTGGTAGCTCTAAAGCTAGAAAAGCTGCTAGAATTGATCTGTGGGAATCCTTGCAGCTCATCCAAGGTTCAATTGATAAGGCCTGGCTGGTGGGAGGAGACTTCAGTTGTATTTCCTCTCTTGCTGAGCCAACCCCACCAATATATCATTCTTTAATGATAATATCCAAAAAAATGGGTTATTTGACCTGGGGTTTAGTGGTCCTACCTTTACTTGGAGAAGGAAGGATTTGTGGGAAAGGTTGGATAGATTTTTTGCCAATGAAAATTGGATCCAAAAGTTCTTGCAGACATCCATTACTCACTTAAGCCCTGCTAGCTTAGACGATAGGCCTTTTCTGATCACTATAGGGAATAAGGGGACTAACCAAAAAAGCTCTTTTGTGTGGTCTCAACATTTAAACTTCTTGAATATTATTAAAGAACATTGGAAGAATGACCTTCATCCTAACCCCTTCATCAACCTGTGGATTAATCAAAAGAAGGTGGTCAAAGCCCTTACACAGTGGAGCTGGAATACTTTTGGAGACCTCTTGCTGATTGTAGATAAGGCTGAAAAGGAGGTAACTGATCTGGAGGAGGAGCATGGCAAAGGGAGGATTGATGAGGCTGTTCTTCTTAAGGCAAATGAGAGACTCTTAAATGCTATTCAGTGGTAGGAACGTTTCCTTCAACAAAAGGCTGCCAAATCAAAATTTGCTGAAGGAGATAGAAACACTAAATTCTACCATGCTTGCATTAAATACCAAAGAAAATGCAACATTATACACTCGATCAAGGACCAGAATGGTGTTTGTCTCAGGCAGGAATGTGCAGTATTGCCATAGCCTAATGAATGGGACCATCAGTGATAGAGTGCAAATTGACAGCAATTTGTTTACTGACAGCAAGAAGTTCACTGCAAATCTTCATTTGAATGATCTTCATGATGAGGAGGAGATTAAAAGTGCTTTGAGTTCCATTGACAGTTCTAAATCTGCTAGACCTGATGGGTTTACTGCAGACTTGTACAAGAAAGCATACATTTTTTCAAAGGAAACTCACTTCCTAACTATTTTAGTGCTTCTACTATTGTCTTCATTCCTAAGACCTCTATCAAGCACAGCTGGAATCATTATAGAACTCTGAGTCTAAAAAGCTAGAATCATTACAGAACTCTGAGTCTAAACAATGTTATAAGCAAGACCATAAGTAAAATTATTGCTCACAGGCTTCAACCTGTTTTACCTCAACTTGTTAGCACTAACCAAGCTGCCTTTGTGAATGGCAGAAGCATTGAGGATAACATCCTCCTAGCTCAAGAACTTCTACATGATTTGGAGAAACATTGCAGAGGGGGAAATGCCATTTTTAAGCTTGATCTAAAGAAGGCTTATGACATGGTCAATTGGGATTTCATCAATGAATGCTTGGAGGCTAGGGTTTTTCCAGGGAGTGCTATCCTGGCTCAAGAACTTTTACAGGATTTGGAGAAACATTGCAGAGGCGGCTTGAGGATAACATAAACTCATTTTTTATAAATGGTAAAGCCCATGGTTTCTTTAAAGCTACTAGAGGGCTTAAGCAAGGGAACCCATTATCCCCTACCATTTTTAGCTTGGTGTTGGACTACTTCTCTAGACTGATGGACTGCAAGGAGAATTGGAAAAGCTTCAACTCTTATCACAATAGAGCTAAGATGGACATCAGCCATCTGATCTATGCTGATGACATCCTAATGTTTACTAGGGCTTCTAAGTCTGCTACCAAGTCCATTATGGAGTGCCTTCAACATTTCCAACAGGTGTCTGGCCTAAAGGTAAATAAGGAAAAATGTGAGATTATGATCAGCAAAAGAGTCTCTCTACCAACCAAGCGATGGATGCAATCTTACAATGGTTTCTCTAGCTTGAGCCTTCCTTTCAATTATTTGGGGATTCACCTAACTAGAGGAAGAACAAAATTTATTTAATTTGATGAGGTTATTGATAAGATAACCTCTACTCTTCAGGGGTGGTCTAACTCCTATTTGTCCAATGGTAGTAGGATCACCCTCCTTAAGAGAATTCTTACCTCTATCTCTTTGTATGTTCTCCAAGTGGCTACAATGAAAAGAAGTACCTCTTTGATGTTGGAAAGAACATTCAACAGATTTCTGTGGGCTAGGAACAGGAAACAAGTGGCTATGGCAAGCTGGCAAAAAGTGGCTAAACCATGGGAGGCTGGTGGTTTGGGATTTAAAGGTTTGCACCAGATGCAACACTTTAGTCTGTGTAAGATTTGGATTAAATTCAGACAAAATGAAAGCTTATGGGCCAATTTCATGCAGGCCAAAATACTGTAAATTTGTTCACCCTGGGGAGGTCACTAGGAAGGTGGGAGACTCCAGAATTTGGGTTTAGATGCTTAAGGCCAGAGAAGACATTGAAAAGCTGCTAAGATGGGATTTGGGCCAAGGGGAAATTAATTTCTATTTAATTTCTATAAAGACAACTGGTGTCCTACTGATTATTTGGAACCTTTGCAGGGTGAAAAGAAAAGGGATATACTGGTTAAGGACTGTTGGGTTGACAATGTATGGTCAGAGGAACTCTTGAGGAGTCTACTGAAGGAGCAGTCTGTCAGCTACATTTCTTTTACCCAATTTGACAGAAAAGTTAATGATCAACTTAACTTGATGAATAGGACCAGAGCTAGTATCTCAAACGATATCCATAACTATTTGTACAGTTAGGACACCTGCCAGTGGAATGTTTCCTCTTTCCAAAAACACCTTACCCCTTTCATGCGGTTCTTTTCTTGGAGAGTTCTTAGTAAAATACTTCCTACTGATTATATTTTGATATTAAAAGGCCTGAAAGGTCCTTCTAGATGCCACCTATGCAAGCTTGATCAGGACTCAAGGGATCATTTATTCTTCAAGTGCAATTTTGCTAAGGAGGTTTAGAATAGATTGACTTTCCAAATGACTATCAACTTGATAAACATTGATTGAGATAACATTACAAACTGTATTAAAGATTGGAAAGAGATTAATCTCATGCCAATCCCCTTCATTGTTGCTTGGTTCTTTTGAATGGCTAGAAACATAGCCAAACATGAGGAGAGGGAGGCCAGAGCTACAAGGGTGATGACTAACTGCTGGTCTTACCTAAATAGGCTGATAAATTCGAGGAAGTTCCCCAAGATCCTGCAGACCATAACTTACATGGGTACTAATAATATTAAGATCATCAAGCTTAGATGGGAGAGACCTCCTTACCCTTTCATTAAAATCAGTACTGATGGAAGCTACACGAACAAGAGAGCAGGTATTGGGGGAATTTTTAGAGATCACACAGGGCATACTTTGCTATTCTATAAGGCCCCTTATATTGCTAAAGATGCTTTGGACACTGAAGCTGTTGCCCTATATTGGGCATTAAAATTTGCTAAGGAGAATAAGTGGCAGTGGACTGTTGCTGACTCCGCCCTGCTGGTGGAGCTACTAAATTTTAAGATGTTTTCCTCTTGGCATATTAATCAATGGCTTCACAGAATTAAAAAGCTCAGCATTGGAAGTAAGATACACTTCTCATTTGTGTATAGGGAAGCTAACAGACCTGCAAATTTCCTGGCTATGGAGGGTGCTAATGCTGAACATCCTGAGGTTTCCATAATCCTCTCCCCCCGCACTTACTAACTATGGCGGACAAACTTCGGACAAACTTCAAATTCCTTACCTAAGAGTGCTAAAATGATTGTTGGGACATTGTTTGAGGCCATGATTAGTCCTGCTCTGCTACTGAGGTTGTGCTACTTTTTTGTTACTTGGTGTTCAAATGTTTTGCTTTGTTTGGGGGCTGATTTGTATTTTTTGATTTTTTCAGACTATGTTGTTGGAAAATATATATACATAGGTGTATGTATATATCTTCTCCTTCCTTTCTTGGGTGTTTTTTGGTGGTTGGTTCATCCGTTATGAGTGAGTAACCTTGTATTTTATTCCTGATATTTTGAGAGAGTGTATAAAGCCTCCTTTAACAAATTATGGTATCCATTCTTTCTTTTGTTACTGGGTGTAGAACCTTCCTAGCATGGAATTATTGCTTCCCTTTAACTTTTCCCTTAGCACAGGATATTAGTCTCCTAGCATTCCTTCCCATTAACAACATTTGACATTTTATGTGGCGGTATAAGACCTCCTTAGATGGAATGTGAGATCTTCTCTCTCTTTGCTATCATATATAAGGCCTTCCTAACACTGAGTTACGACATTCTTTTAGCTTCTCTCTTTGGAATAAGAAATAAGTCTCACAGCTTTCCTTTCCCAAAACCTCATTAGACACTTTTGCAAAATGATATAAGACCTCCCTCAATGGAATTTGACAGTCATTCTCTCTCTTACTGTAGAATGTAAGTCCTTGCTAACAAGGAACTATGGCTCTCCTATAGTTTACTTTTCCTTAAGACTTCTTCATAATTAATTTCACCCTTTTTCCCACAATACTTCAAAAACTAAATGATAAACTACTGGACACAAGATAATCATATTCTCCTCTTCAAAACCATCAACAAACTAACAATTTCATTGGGTTATCTTTACGTGATACACCAAAATAATGTATTATTTTATGTATACATTTTATGTTTACTTTGGCGACATTGCACTTTAAAGAATGGTATTTTCATGTTTTTGTTTCAGGTATATCAATTTTAGGATTTTGAAGCAAAAAGTAGCAAAAAT